ACTCACACTCCCTCACACATGCTCACACTCCCTCACACTCCCTCACACATGCTCACACTCACACATGCTCCCACTCACACACACTCACACTCCCTCACACATGCTCCCACTCACACTCCCTCACACTCACACTCCCTCACACATGCTCACACTCCCTCACACTCACACTCCCTCACACATGCTCACACTCCCTCACATATACTCACACTCCCTCACACATGCTCCCACTCACACTCCCTCACACTCACACTCCCTCCCTCACACTCACACTCCCTCACACATGCTCCCACTCCTTCACACTCCCTCCCACTCACACTCCCAATCCCTGACACTCCCTCACACATGCTCACACATGTTCACACTCACACTCCCTCACACATGCTCCCACTCACACTCCCTCACACATGCTCACACTCCCTCACACATGCTCCCACTCACACTCCCTCACACATGCTCCCACTCACTCACACTCACACTCCCTCACACATGCTGCCACTCACACTCAATTTCCCACACTCCCACTCTCTCACAGATGTTCCCACTCACACTCCCTCACACACAGTCCCTTCCCACACTACCACTCTCTCTCCCACACACACTCCCACATTCACCTTCCCGCAGACATGCCTTAATGTTATTATCAGAATATGATTAAATCTAATAATATAAAATGATTTAATCAGGAAGGGCAGGTTTAGCTTGTCCTACACTCTTTGTATTATTGTAGCCCGTTCATTATTATAAGATTATTTGACCCCGCTGGGATATAATAGTTATTAGAGACACTGCAGTTGGAGCACCAATTACTGAGCTATTTTAGTGGCTTATAATTGCGGATTCTATGTTTGTCAATTCTCTACAACAAAATGAAATGATGTCAATTAGCAGAATATGTATTTAGGATTTTTTAGAAATGTACGACAGTGAAGGGTTGAACTGAATTCCTGTTTTTTCGGCAGCGTTTACCCCTGGTACCAGCCTGTGTGTTCACAGCATCAAAGTCCCAGAGAGTCTGATCACAAAGTGTGCGAATGCAGTCATTTGTACGCGGAACAGCAGTGACGCAAGAGCAGGTTCTGACAAGCAGTGATTGCTGGGAGGCTAAACGTTAATACCTCCATCTCGCAGTGTTCACATATACCATCATGTCACTAGTGGCGTAACAAGGCGTAACATGCACCCAGATTTTGGGGGACCCCCCCCCACTGATGCTGGTTAACTCACTGTGGTAAGCTGAGTATTCTGGAGCAGGGCTGCGAGTTTAGATTCACTGAATAATAGAATATTCTGTAGATTGTTACTGAATAATTACTTATTACTGAAATTACTACATTTATTCTCGCGAGAATTATCATTATCAGGCTAATGACTGAATAGCAGATCTGTGTAACTTCCATCAATAACCATTTTAGCCCTAACCTACTCTATTTTCAGACTTAGCCCTAAATCTAACCCTGCACTAACCTGAGTCTAAGCCCTCACTCTACACCAGTGGTAGTCAACCTTTTTCTACCTACTGCCCACTAATGCATCTTTCTTGATGGAAGAATTTCCTTACCGCCCACCAGTTTTTGCGCAAGTGCAGAATATTTTTTAGAAAGGAGGGTGTTTTAAAAAAAAAAAAAAAATGTACGTACATTTATCTTTTTATTTCTACTTAATGCATGTTTATAATGTTTTTAACTTTATAAAGTTTAATGAGAAAACAACAAAGTAAATTGAAATTACCTTTACTAGTGATTAATGAGATCCCTGAGGTTGATGCTGCGAGACTAAATATTTTATCAAAATCTGGCGGTGAAGCGCTTAGTGTCAATGCAGTGCAAGTTCTATCTATTAGACTTGTGCAGTAAATTCGTCAATAAACATGCATATATACCTTTAACCCCTTCAGGACGGAGTCAATAGTGCACGTTCTGATCAAAACAAAATGTAAACAAAAACTTGAATTTGCGCTATATGTCTGTTCAACCGTAATTCACCGCTGTCACATTAAGTGCACCCACACTTATTATATATCATTTTGTTCAGGAGAAACAGGGCTTTAATTTATCATTAACTATTCATATATGGAACATAATTTATTATGAATAAAATTTGATAAAATAAGGTTGTTTTTTTTACATTTGTATTTTCGTCTGACATTTCAGCTGTAAATGTCATAATACTGTTAGGTTTTACTGCAAAAAAATGCACAAATCTGTAATCAGCGATGTCTCACGAGTACAACAGTACCCCCCATTAACAGGTTTTATGGTGTTTTGGAAAGTTACAGGGTCAAATATGGAACGTTCCATTTTCAAATTGAAATTTGCCATATTAGTACCTTTGAGACGGTGTGGTATCCCAGGAATGAGAATTACCCCCATAATGGCATACCATTTGTATGTTTAGTCTTTTTTTAGTAGCCACTTAGTCACAAACACTGGCCACAGTTAGCGTTCATATTTGTTTTTGTGTGAAAAAAGAAAAAAAAAATATTTGGCCAGTGTTTGTGACTAAGTGGCTACTAAGGAAGACTGGACATACCCCACTTGCAATACCTTGGGTTGTCTACTTTTGCAAATGGTATGCCATCATGGGGGTAATTCTCATTCCTGGGCTACCATACACTCTCAAAGGCAACCAATCTGGCAAATTTCAATGTCAAAAAAATTCAATGCAAGCCTTATATGTGACTCTCTAACTTTCCAAAACACCATAAAACCTGTACATGGTGCGTACTGTTATTCTCAGGAGACTAAACTAAACACAAATATTAGTGTTTTAAAACAGTAAAACATATTACAACAATAATATAGTCCATAAAAGTGCAGTTCGTTTGTAAAAAATGCAAAAAAATTCACTTTTACTTAAAATATCATCGTTGTAATACAATTTACCAGTTTTAAACACTAATATTTGAGTTCAGCGAAGTCTCCTGAGTAAAACAGTACCCCCCTATGTACAGGTTTTATGGTGTCTTGGAGAGTTACAGGGTCAAATATAGTATTAAATTCTCTGCATTTTCTCCCTGTGTTGTCAGGCATGTCAATCAAATTTTAATTAATCAAATCACATAATTATGTTAAAAGATTACTTAAATATACACGTAGAATTTTAATATATTTGCATTTATAGGTATTTAAATTCTACGTGTATACTAATGTAATCTTTTATGTAATTATATGTATTTATCTATATATATATATTTGCGGTTATTTGTATTTTATATATAGAATGTCATTCTAAGTGTATTTTAATACTAATATATGTACTTATATTAATATAAAATACATTACGTATGACGTTACATATATATTTATAAATATATTTATTTTATTTTATAACATGTTTAATAATATTTATTTTACTTTCCTACCAGCAGGGGGACTGTCTGACATTTCAGACAGTCCCCCTGCTGGCAGATCCACAGCCAGCTATAGGGGGCCATGTGATCGCTCTTTGAGAGCAATCACATGGCCCCCTGGGGCCTCATTTTCCGTGGGAGGGCTACCTGGGCTGTGAGACAGTCCTCCCGAAGCAGAGTGCCGGGTAGGTAAGTATCCCGGGCGCTCCAGGGCTCAAAGCCGTTACGGCGTTCTATGCTGCCGCAACGGCTTTAAAGCCCACTTAATGCGGGACGGCATAGAACGCCGTAACGGCGTTAAGGGGTTAATAGGTGTCTATAGTAGAATCTTATAAAATGTATTGTTCCTTTGAAACATAAAATGAAAACACATCATAGTATAGACTGTATATAAAATGAAATTACAAAGATAAAGACAAATCACCACTCACAATTTAATGAGCTAAAAAGTATAGCTCAATTAGTGCACTTTTGGGGTCCGTTGAGGCGACCCTTTCCTTTCTTTTACGAGATAAGCTTGATGTCTTTATCCTATATTGTAAAAGAGAACAAATATGGTGCAATATTGCAATATTCCTTTAAATGGTGAAGTATAAGGGTAAATTGTACTCACAAACCCTGAGCCTTCCAATTAGGCTCAAATCTGATAACGTATGTGGTTAAGGACCACATTCCTTCTTTTAAGTAGTAGGGGAAAAAATTGCCTTAGGTGTGTTGATAAAAAATATATATATATTTTATTACAATTAAATATATAGAAAGTACCAATAAAATACTAAATAAAAAACACACACTAAACAGGCAAATGGAAGTCCAATAGTAAAGAGTCCTATGCTCACAAATCCCAGGACGCGTTTCGCCTCAAAGGCTTCCTCAGCTGGGTAGAAAAAGTCTCTGTAGTCTCCCTTGGTCTTCTTTCCTGCTATATATAACCCTCTAATGGGGGAATTCATTAATTTCAGGTTTGTGTGTTCGCGGGCTTTCACCATCGAAACG